ACTTAGGAGTATACTGTGCAGTTACTTCTTAGAGTAATACATTCTCCTGTTCCTCTGCTTCAGCTTTGGGACATCCGGAAGAAAGCAGCCATTCAGACATTTCAGAACACATACCAGGTGTTAGCTGTGACCTTCAATGATACAAGTGATCAGATTATTTCTGGTGGAATAGACAACGATATCAAGGTATGTTTGATGTTTATGTTATAGTTCCCTTTCACCTAGTTCCACTCATAGAAGCAAATCTTTTTAAATTTCAGAGATTGTGATAACTTTGCACTTAATACCAACTAAAAGAAAGATAGTAACTTGCAGTTTATTGGAACTTATTTTCTTTCTCTCCTATCCTCATTGACTTCCTAAATCAATATGAGTTGCATTGCAGCTCATATAAGCACTATCGGGAACCAGGCAGTTAGTGTGAAGTCTGAAGTCCCTGGTTAGGGGACTGTGTACGTTTCTCTAAGAATTAGAAACAGTAATGATAATAGAGAAAGAGGTAAAGATATTACCAACCATATGGCAGTACAGTGTAGCTCAAGCTTTCAGGTAATTGACTTAGGTTCTAATCCCAGTTGCAACACTTTCTAGTTTTATGACTTCAAGTGAGTTCTTTAACTTCTTTAAACCTCTGTTTTCTCCTGTGAACAGTGAGGGTGGTACTAACAACAACAATAGCATCTACCTCACAGGGTTGTTATGGGGATTAAATGAGCCTAGTGCATTAGAGCACCTAGCAGAGTTCCTGGACATAGCAAGTGACAGTAAAAGTGAAGTGTTATTTGGGGACTACGAAATTCATATCTACCTTTACTTATTGGTTTCCTTAAGGATCTCAAAGACTTTGGCATTATCTTCTGCCTTGTCATGAGAATAGTAACTGTCAGGTAAATACTCAACTTCCTGTGTTTTCCCAACCTGGAAATTGTACTGTATTCCTATCCCTCCTTGCCTCCTTTGCTGTTACTATGGATGAAATGTTCTTGTGTCTAAAGGTAGTCCTTTAAATGGAAGTGTTTCAATCCTTCTTCCCTTCTTTTAACCTCTTCTCTTCTGCTTTTCTACTTCTCATCTACATTTCATCATGCTTAGGTCTCTTTTCTATGGCAGGAGGGGGAGTCTTCCTTCAATTCCACATCTTCTCTTGATACTGCCCTGTGAGTCTTCTCCTTTACATCCAAACTTCTTGAAAAGGGATGATGGTGATATTGTCATCATCACCTAATACGTAGTGCTTTTATGTCAGGTGTCATTCTCAGGGCTTTACATCATTAATTCATTTAATCTTTATGACAGCCTCTTGCAATTTTTTTTTTCTTGAGACAGGAGTCTTCCTCTGTCCCCCAGGCTAGAGTGCCGTGATGTCAGCCTAGCTCACTGCAACCTCAGACTTCTGGGCTCAAGCGATCCTCCTTCCTCAGCTTCCTGTGTCCCTGGGACTATAGGTGCACATCACCACACCTGTCTTATTTTTTCTATTTTTAGTAAAGATGGGGTCTTGCTCTTGCTCAGCCTGGTCTGGGACTCCTGACCTCAAGCTATCCTCCCACCTCGGCTTTCCAGAGTGCTAAGATTATAGGTGTGCCCAGCCAATCTCATGAAATATTAATAAATGCTATTAATGCCATTTATAGATGAAGAAACTGAGCCAAAGGAGGCACAACAACTTATCCCAGGGTTACATAGCTAATAACTGATGGAATCTCAGTTCAAAACCGAGAGTTTGGGTGGGGTGCAGTGGCTGTTGTTATACAGCAACAAAAATAAAAACCTATAGCAACTGATTTCAAATATTGTGCTAACTGCTGCTGCCAGAAAACAGTCAGGCAGCCTGTATCCAAAATCTGAAACATGCTTATACTTACTTACATTCATTCATTCATTCATTCATTTATTACAGGCAGAGTCTCGCTCTCTTGCCCTGGGTAGAGTGTGGTGGCGTCTTCATTATCTCACAGCAACCTCAAACTCCTGGGCTCAAGCAATCCTCTTGCCTCAGCCTCCTGAGTAGCTGGGACTACAGGCATGCGCCACCAGGCGAAGCTAATTGTTTCTACTTTTGGTAGAGACAGGGTCTTGCTTTTGCTCAGGCTGGTCTCGAACTCCTGAGTTCAAGCGATTCTCCCACCTCAGACTCCCAGAGTGCTAGGATTACAGGTGTGCCCGGCCTCATTCCCCTACTTTTAAACCCTTCTGTAGCTCTGCAGTGAGGGAGATAAAGTCCAAGCCAGGCATTCAAAACCTTTTGTGAGCTTGCCTCTGCCTACCTTGCAAGCATCATCTGCTGCCTCTTGGTGCCTAGTTCCCTACAGTCCAGCAATTTTTCATGC